AATTCCTATCCTGCCAACCCTCTAGTTTTTGCAGCTTCTTAGCAATGTCAGGCCAACTGTTGGCCACAAAATGTAGCTTTAACATCCCTTAGCCTAAGGGATTATCAATATTCAATCCTGAGTACTTTCTCATCTGTTCCTTTAACCTTGTTAAAAACTCTGCAGGTCCTTCCTCCCACCGTTGTTGAATATTAAACGCCCTTCCCATGTTTTGAGAATGGGGAACTGCTTCCCTTATATCTTTTATAATCAAATTTCTAAGATCTCTCTCGTTGTTTCTTTGGGCTTCATTATTATTTTCCCATTGGGGGTCCTGATTTGGAAATTTCACCTCTGTGGTCACCTCATTGGGCCTGCCAGGTGCTCGCATTCCCAGATGGCCATTGCTGTCTCCTCATCCTCCTCCTCCCTTCCCCAGAAAACAGAATATTCAGGATCGACGTGAGCTTGGCCCGTGTATATATCTGGGGACCCAGAAATTGATCCAACTGATCTGCAACCCCATGGGGGTCTTCTAACAGAGGTTTTAGCTTTTTCTTTAAATTTCTGACTTCCGAACTAGTAAGGGGAGTATTAACAAACTCTATTCTTCCGCCACATAGTGAGGGGAACATCTGGAAGTGGGTATAATGCCTGGGATTTTTCCCCACGGGAAGGAAAGGGAAAATTTTGGATGTTTTTCTTACATCGTTTTATTTCTTTTCTTAAATTAGGGAGCAAAGGGTATAGGGTTGGGGTAGGAGGTGAGGCCCTTGCGGGAGGTTCAGGATTCATCTCTTCCATCCTTACTTCTTTGGCTCCTCCCTCCAGGGGGCCAGACAAAGGCCCGTCATTTTGAGAATCTTCAGCACCTGGGTTTTCAGGGTTGTAAGGCGGGGGACAGGGGCGGGTAGAGAGTGTGAACTAAAATAAAATTTTAAGGCTTACCCCCCCCCCCACTGGCTGACTAAATGGACTCCCTCTTGGCCAAAGGAATATCCTAAAACTAAATTGCCTGCCAGGAGGAAGGAGGTCAGACGTGCCTTATCATGCCCCCCTCCTTTCTTGGGGACATCCTTTGTAACCCATTAACAGGCCTAAGGGTATGCAAGACAAACCTACAGGTCCTCAATTTACACAACAAATCTATGTCCGGTTGCTTCTCTCTGATAAACAGCTCCTATGTTAAAACATTCCAAGCCTTTAGACAAAGCTTCATGTCTTTAACCAATTACAAGCCAAAGAATCTTCAAACCCCCCTATAACCTGTAAGCCCCCGCTTTGAGATGGCCCACCTTTTCGGGCTAAACCAATGTATGCCTCCTACCTGTTGATTTATGACTTTACCTGTAACCCCTGTCTCCCTGAAATGTATAAAACCAAACTGCAACCCGCCACACCAAGTCCACTTGCTCAAGGCCTCTTGGGCATGGCTCCGGGTCGTGGTCCTCAAATTTGGCTCAGAGTAAATCTCTTTAAAATTATTTTACAGAGTTTGGTCTTTTTTTCCGTTGACAAGAGGAAAGGGGATGCCAAGGGGGAGAGAGCTTCTCTTTTTCCTCTTTTCCTGTTTCTTTATTGTCTCTCCCTTTAAGAGGGAACAAAACAATGGGACCCTTTCTCCAATACAGGGCATAGTCAGATTTCTTCCTGAAAGACAGGGCTCTGCAATCAGCATATTCAATTAAAAGTTGGCAAACAAACCCAGTCTTCATGGGAATCAAATTTGGGCCAAGGGAAAGGGTTTTTAAGAATGGGTTCTTGCATCCGAATGAAACAACAATATTTTACCACCTATTATCCTAGTGGGCTATCAGGGGGAATTTTATCTTTACTTCTGTTTTCTCTAGAGATTTTCTTACTTTTGTTATTTCCCATCCCGGCTTCCTGGCTGTATGTGTGTCCTAGTCTAGAGGTTCAACACCCCCTCCTGGAAATTTCTTACACTCTTGACTTCCACTTCCTCCGACTCTGGCCGCTTCCCTAGTGGGAATTTAGGCTCCTCTTAACATTGGCGTGTCGGTATAAATCCGCAACTAGGATCTAGTTCAAGCCTAGATACCACCTTCAGTTGTTTGAGGCAGCCACAGAACCACGGATCAGGACTTCACAATCGCTTTGTGCCCAAGGCACGTCTCAGTCACACACACACCCTCTGGAATGTCCTGACCACCAAGGAAATACTTTGTCGCCCCCTGCGACTTTTCTTACCTTGGTCCTTGCATGGAGTTACCTGGTTGCCACAGTTCCTGCTCAGGCCTTTTTCCCTGCATTGCTGAGAGCCTGGGTTCATTCACCGCTTTGGGGAGTCTCAATCACCTGGATCCCAAGGGCTGCCACAATGAGGTAGCGGGATACATCTCCCCCAGGAGTGGGGATAGAGTCCTCCTTCCAAAGGGAATGGGCCATCCCGGACGAGCCCCCAGACTGTTAGAAGTAACCTGCAGTACCATTAAGAAAATAGTCAGACATTGCAAATTGTCTCAGCAAGGCAAAATCTTTACTTCTGATGAGAAGGGCCCATAGCAGCAGCAAAAGCAGCCAACCAGCCAGCAGCGCATGCTACAGGGAAGTTCTTCACCTTTTTATCCCTAACGCAGACTTGGGCTGTGTCTCATCCCATTGGTAGGGACTTTGACTGCACAGTCTTGCCCTTACCCAGCTGGCGAAGGCGTGTTGCTGGGGTAAAAGGGAGAACAAGGAAGGTAAAGTTAGTAAATGCGGAGTTTTTGGTATTGCAATAAAGGAGATTAAACAAAGGTTATCATTATTGTACAGTTTGTGCTATGTGCTAATAATTACATAAAGCTGGATATCAGACAGAATATTCCTTTGACAGAAAAGATTAGGCCAAGGTCATCTCCTCCTACACCCTGATCTGTTTGCCAATATGTTTCAGGAATTATGATGCTTCACCCCTAAATTCTTTAGCATTTATTTCTTAAGAAAAAGGACATTTTCCTATGTGACCACAATATCATCCTCACACCCAAGACATTTGACCTTGATACAATATTTCTACTATACAGTTCATATTCAAAATTTTCCAATTGTCCCAATAATGACTGCCCTTTAAAGCTTTTTTTCTTTTTTTTAAACCGGCATCAAGAATTGTGCATTACATTTGGTCTCTTTAGCCTCCTCTGATCTGGAACACTTTCCTGATTTTTGTTGCTAGCCTTTCATGACACTAACATTTTGAAGCATCCAGGCCAGTTGTTTTGTAGAATATGCCAGTCTAGCTTTGTCTGAATGTTTCTTCATTATTAGATTTGGGTTCAACATTTTTGCAACAAACTACAAAGGTGACGTTGCATCTTTCTAGATTTTCTCTTTGTGAAATTCTGAATAAATTCATCAAAACTGAACGTGCTTTTGTGTATGTGTGTGTACTTTGCTGGTGCCCTAAGCACGTGTGTGTCATATTAATAATCATTGCTACCATCCTGGACACCATGCAAAGCATTCATCTCTGTATTGACTTAGAAGCAGGGCTTTGCGTGCTATAATGCCAAACTTGCCCCCCCTCGTCCCCGCCACTAGTGTTAATCTGTCAATACATCCTCATCAATACTTATTGTCCATTCTTTAATTTTTGCCAGACCTGTAGGTGTAACATGATGTCTTGTTGTAGTTTTTGTTTGTATTGACTACTAAAGAGTTCAAGCATTTTTCTTTATGTTTATTGGCCATTTGTGTTTTTTCTTCTGTGAGAGGCCTGTTTGTGCCTTTTGTTCACTTTTTGGAGGTTGTCTTTTTCTTATGTATTTTTAGAGCTTTGTGCATTCTGTATAACTAATCATTTATAAGTTATCTATACCTCAACTCTCATGAAATAGTATCACAGAAAGCTAAGCATGTGGATACTGTAGTTAGAGGTTCTGGGTTCAAATTCCAGTTCTGTCACTTCCTGTGTGACTCTGAACAAATGATTTAACCTCTCTGCTTTTGTTTCCTCATCTGTAAAATGAGGGTGATAATGGTACTTACCTCATAGGGCAGTAGAGGGGCTAAAGGAGTTAGTACATGTAATGTGTCAGAATATTGCTTGGCACATAGTAAAGAGGAAAATAAGTGTTTGCTGTTATTAGCTTCTTCCAGTTTGTAGTGCCCATGATATTTTGAGATTCAGTGGACTCATGAAAGTGCTCATCTTACACGTGGTCGCCTGCCCCATTTTGGGGTCTCCAACTATAAATTGCTTCCCTACAGCCATGTGTCACAGCACACATACTCATAACTTAGGTGGCTCCATTTTGTACAGGCAATGTCTACAAAGTGATCTCCACTCCTCGAAGGTACTTTAGGCCGAGTAAGTTTTCGTTGTGAATAGGAACAACATTCTGCAACCCTGAAGGGCTGTCCCCCAAATCCAGAGAAATTAATGCCAATAAGTCCTCTGCTCCACTTTAAAGACCCACAAACATCCTAAAGATATTTCACCCAACTTTTGGGACCTAAGGGTATCATGATTTATTCTACAACAATTTAAGAAAGTCTCTACTCATGGTGGGGGCCCCTAGCACCTCACAGCAACCTACTCTCCTCCCCACCTCTCTCCCTGGACCCTCTTCCCTCAATTTGGGCCTTTCCTTGTGTAGTGCTTCAAAGGCTAGTAAACTACAAGGGCACCCAGAGGCACGCTGCAAATGCCCCTTAACTGAACGAATGGATGGGGAAGGAAGGAATGTTCTGCGTTGCTAGGTAGAGGTGAAGAAAGGAGGAAAGGAATGTTGGATGCGCAGCAAGGCGCTGATTGGCTGGTCTGCAGAATGCAGCAGGGCTAGAGTAAGCAACGTAGCAGAGTCTTTCTTTAGACCAGGTAGTGGCTGCCCAGCGGGGCCGGACGTGGTGCGCGAACAGCAGCCTTGCCTACTGTGCGCGTTCGAGGCGGGTGCGGCAGCCCTTCGGGCTCCGCCCCGCCACGCCCCCCGGCGCCTCGGCCACGCCCCAGGTGGAGGCCGCGCAGGCGCCCGCGCACGGCGGGCCAAGCGCCACCAGTGGCTCGCAGCTCGACTCCGAAGATGGCGGACCGCAGCGTTGGCGCGGGTGGCAGCACATCCCTGAGGGGACTGCGGGAACGGATGGGTGAGCGGGCCGGTGGCTCGCGGTGGTGGGGCTGGGGTCCGCGTGGGAGGAAGGACTCGCGCGGCCCCGGGGTCCGTTGGAGCGGCGGGGTCCGCGCCAGAAAACTTTTCTCCAGAGTCGCCTCTCGCCGCGCGATCTTCCCCTCACCCCTGCCGGAGCCCCCTGGGTTGGGACAGGGAGTCGTCCTGGGTCGAGGGCGGGAAGGGAAACGGCCGGCCTACACCGCCAACTGCCCAACTGCCGCCACCAACGCCCAGACCCCCGCGGGCGAGGCGCCAGGGAACTAACGCGCGCTGCTGGGGCGGGCGGGGTCGGGGTGGCTGGAACCCCGGAGCCCGCGGATGGCCCCGAGCCTCGCCTGCCGTTGAGGGGCGATGGACGCCACCGCGACCGCGCGAACTGACGCGCCGCTGCCGGGGGTGTGCGGGCGTCCGCCCGGACCCCGCGCGCCAGCGCCGCCGCCTCGGCCGGGGCAGTCCTTCCAGGCTCGGAAAGTTTGAGTTTTCTCCTAGCCCCGGGCGTTCGCGGTTTAAGGCTCTTTTAGGGTCGCAGTCCTTCCCGCTCCCAAAGGCTTGCTTTCCACACCCTCCAGGGCAAGGTCCAGGGAGGAGGCGGGGGGAGGGGGCTTTAAAAGTTGCTTTGCAAGTTGGGATGAAACTTGGCCGTCTGCATCTCCTGATTTGCTTGCTGTATCGCATGATTTCGACAAGATGTCACCTTCCTTGGGACATCTTGCAGTCCCTAAGCTGAACTGAACGAGAATCAGCACTTCAGAGTGCTTTCTCTTCAACGGGTCCCTTCGCCAAAAAGTCCCTCCGCTCTTAAAACCATTAACCTTATAGAATTTGGCAGCGCGTTGCTTAGTCCAGAAAACTGCTCCACTACCTGAGCGAGATAATATTTCTTGCTCGTGGGAGGTTGCTTGTAGCCTGCCTTCAGGCTAGTTTCCTCTGCTATGAGCGTGAATAAAACGATTTTATTGAAATCTTTAGGGATTTTTTTCACTTGCAATTAAAAACTTTATTTTGGCTACAATTGGGAGGCCATGCGTTACTTAAGAACACTTTCTATCAGCTCTCCAAAGAGTGCGTCAGAAGCAAATACTGACTTTCATCATTCCATTAGAGAGAAAAGACTCTTCTGTCTAGCTTATGGTTCACCTAGACACAGTCTCCAATAAACAGTTGTATTACTTATGATACTGAAGGCTGTCTGACACTGCTTTATTTCAGTGATTTAAATTAACCAGCATTTATTCTAATATATTGGATAATCCCCTAAAAGCATGTGTATATTGAATGCTGGAAAGTATTTTAGAATTATGTAGGGGGCAGTTGCTTGAATTCATAGCATTTCAAGCCAAAAACTTAAAAGCCGTGCAAAAAAGGCTTAGCCCAGGACCCTACTTTACATCTTGCTGCCCATTTCACGTTAGGAATTGGAAACATCGCATGTTAGGCTTTCACAGAGAGCTAGCTTGACTAGAACTCCCCTCCTGGTCTCAGCGTTTTCCCGAAGGAGTCAATGAGACAATGAAATGTTTTTGCTAAAAAGCCAGTTTCATCTCCTGCTGGGAGCCTGACTGCAAGATTTAAAACAATGTCCTGGACAAATAACTTATTTGGGAGCATGGCACAGTCTGCATACATTTATTTTCTGTATTCATATATATGTGTTAATGTATGCCTATATAAAATTACATTTATTGAGTTTTCTGTGCATAGCACTGTGCTAAGGTTGCCACATACCAAAGAAATATTTATTTTAACAAAGCATGTGTTTCATATTTTTATGCAGAATTATTTCAAAATAAAAATTTATTTCAATATTTCAACCAGATGAGTATAAGAAACTTTGCCACTGACTTGTCACCTTTCCCTTGTTTTTCTAAATTCACAAATGATTTCCCAGTTTAGAATAAATTATTCAAAGAATACTTTCTACAAATGCAGAAAAAACTACTGAGATTGACAGCCAGATTATCATAGAATTTTAGAGCTGTAGAAACCTTAAAGTTATCTAGTCCAACGTACAGAGTCCCAGCTGTAAAATCCTAGGCAGCTTCTACAACTCGAATGTGTACTCTAATGAGGAGCTTGATATTTTTCCAGGTAGCTATTCCATTGTAGACAGCTCTAGATGGTAGAAAATTGCTTCCAAGACATCAAGGCAAGCTATCTTTGGTTTGAACTTGGAATTTTCTGAAAGTCTCTCTCACCCCTATGACTTTGGCTGTTGTCGTTTGAGGCAAAATTCCATGGATCTGCCTTATTTTTGATCACAGATCTCTTTGTATTCCTATTATTTTTTCTTAATACTTTTATATTTCAAAATAAAGTTGCTTTTTAATGTACAATTAAATGCTAGGTTCACCACTCACTACCTGTGTGACTGGGGAAGTTATGTTTAGCTTTAGTTTTCTCATCTTTAGAAAAAAAACTTGGTGGAAAATAATGTGTACTTTATAAGATTGTTGTAAGAATTTAAATGAGGTAATACAAATCAACTTTGTAACTGGTGAAGTGATATATAATATTTTTTATGGCAGGCTAAGATACAGGCTAGGATTCATAATTCAGTTTTAGTAATAAAGTACACAATTTCTTATTTAATCTCCAGACAAAAGGTAACTTTAATTTGGGGTTTAGAATTAGTATAAGAACTATAGAAATACTGTATTATACTTACTATACCTTGCTGTTACTTTAACTGAATATTAAGTAAATTCCTTCATTTAAATGCATGTTAAGTAAATTCTCTCATTCAGTGAAGCTGAATAAAATGTTGACTCTGTTAAGGCCAGACATAGATGCTTTCTCCCGTTGCCTGGACATTTTAAATAGTTTTTAAAGCCATGCCTGCCAATGTACTTCTTGCTAGCAGAAATTTGGATATAAAGATGTAAAAATCAGATTTGATATTATTACCACATTAACATTTATATTATTTGGTTCATTATTCCCACCACAGCTACTTAAAGTTATTTCTGTTTAATAAAATCTTGAAATAGTCTGGTAAAAATGTGCATTTTGAGAGAAATTGTCAGCTAAATTGTGTCAAATACACACTATCCTTAGGACTTCTAAGCAGAACTGAATGTGCAAAAACAATACTACAACGTACTTTATTGTTTTCTTGGTGGTGCTCACATAGAAATGTTGCAAGTGGGGGTTATGTGGGAGGGTTTAATTTATAGACTGTATTTAAGAATTTTTGTTAATACACTAGTGCTCAAATTCAGAGGATAATTGTGGTCTACAGACCAGTAGTTAAATATTAAGCTGAGAAGAGTCTAATCTTCAAATTTACCTAGGTCATAGATTATCTGAACTATTAGGTCTCTGCAGTTAAAAAAATCCTTTTCTCTTTTCTTTTTTGAAATGATGATCCCTATGGCAGCAATTGTGATGTCGCTTTCAAGGTTACACTATTAAAAAAAATAATTCCCAGATATCTTTCCTCAGTGGCAACTAACATCTCAGAGTCCATTCATTCTATAAGTCCAAGGACAGCCCTCTATTTTCTTGGTTATTTTAACTGCCCATCTTCAACTGTGCTGTTTTCTGGATATATAGAAACTAGACTTGTATGCAGTATTGCAGGGGCATACTTCCTGTGCTTTCTGTACAAGGGTGGAACAGAGTTAGTTTTCAGTATTATTCTCCATACCCTTCCTGGAGATACACAGTACTGTGGGGCATTTTAGATAGAGCCATACAATTAAAGGGTTCAGGGATTCTCCTGTAATAATTTTTGTGTATCCCGGAATTTTAGTTTTTCTTTTCCTCAAATTGTGCTACCCTTACACTTCTTCCTTATTGAAGTCTATTTATCACTCTTCTGCCTTTTTGCACAAGACATGTGTTAGCACCTTATATAATTTATATTCGTTTGCTTGACATTTTTCTATGTAGAATGTTATCTCATTGGAGATTTCCTTCTCCTGGATTAGTGGTTCTCCCTCTGCCTTCACTGTGCATCACAATAGAGCTCTTAGCTGTAGGTTCCTGGGCCCCACACAGAGCCTGGGGGTTTGGGGGAGAGGGGAAGGCATTGCTAATTTTTTTGTTCTGGATACACATTCATATACTTTATTTTTTTTAATTTTAATAGATTTAGGGGGTACAAGTTGAATTCTGTTACATGTATGTATGGTATAGTGGTGGAGTGTGGGCTTTTGGTGTACCTATCACCCAAACAGTATACATTAGGTGACTCTAATGTGCATCCAGGGTATAAAGTCCCTGATCTAACTAGATTTATAATAATTTATTATATTATTAATTTATAAATGTGCTCCTGAATATTGGGCCCCATCTCTGAGGATGTCACTGTTAACACTTTGCTTCCAGATTCAGATCCATAAATTTTTAAACTTTTATTTTTTAAATTCCCAATTTATGGCAAAACTTATTTTTTCCAATTTCTTGCCGGCTCAATTTTTCTAATACTTGGTATAATGTACTGTCTGAGACATTTCTGAAAGCTATTAATCATTGGCTCCCACTCATCTATAAGCTTGTGTACCACTGCCACTAACAACTTTAGTTATCTTTATGTTTACAAATACCCTGGCATACCCACAGTGACCACTTTTAATTCTTTGTTAAAGTATTGTTGAACATTGTAAGTACTCAGTACATCTTTGTTGTTGACCCAGATTAATCAGTCATAATTTTACCTTGTAGAAGTGGTTCTATCCTTTATCATCAAAGATACAGTTCGCTGTGGTTTGCTGACCCCTGTGTTAACTATATTCTTAATATCTAATCGCTTTTCTTTATCTCCTTGTATTTTAGTTGCTGCGGCTCATGCAATCGCTGAAGAAAGAAGGAATCAAAGTGGAGTTAGCCCGATTGCGTCCCAGTCTTCAAATCTGAGATCAGCATGTAAACCAGGTATCATTTCTGTTATGCTTTGATAGATGTTAGTGTCATATCTTTAAAATTTGATATCCTATTAATGTCTAACTATATCTTTTTTTTAGTAATAGATGGATCTGTGCTTAAAAATGATGAAAAGCAAAGATTAGCGAAGGAGCGCAGGGAAGAGAAGAGGAGACAGCAAGATGGTATATTTTAGACTTTTTAAAAAAATCAAAATGAATGAATTTTATGTATATATTTGAAAGTATTTTGCTTGCTTTTCCTAATTTTTTTCTATAATAGATTATAATTTTTATATTATGTATTATGTTGGGTTAAATCCTTTTACTAAATCGGGTAAAGAAGGCCCATGAAAAATCTTTGACTAAATTATTTAATTTTTTTTTTTTTTTTTGAGACAGAGTCCCACTGTGTTGCCCGGGCTAGAGTGAGTGCCATGGCGTCAGCCTAGCTCACAGCAACCTCAAACTCCTGGGCTCAAGCGATCCTCCTGCCTCAGCCTCCCAAGTAGCTGGGACTACAGGCATGCGCCACCATGCCCGGCTAATTTTTTCTATATAGTTTTAGTTGTCCAATTAATTTCTTTCTAATTTTAGTAGAGACGGGGTCTCGCTCTGGCTCAGGCTGGTCTCGAACTCCTGAGCTCAAACAATCCACCCGCCTCGGCCTCCCAGAGAGCTAGGATTACAGGCGTGAGCCACCACGCCCGGCCCTAAATTATTTAATTTTTGAGGGAGTAGTTTCTGTTAGCTTTGGTTTTCTGAAAACAAAAGTATGAAAATTTTTTCAACATTTGTAAAAACAAGCAGAGTGGGATTTTAGTAAAAGTGATTCTAAAAATGAAAATAAGTTGCTAATAATCCTAGCATAGATAAGGAGAAAAGATGCTCTCAAGTTGTAGAAAGATTATTCTTTTAGATCCTAATTTATACAAAGTCACCCTTTAGAAGCATTTAGTGAGGGAAAATTTGAATATAGGAAAACATTATGGTATTCTATAATGTGATGTATGGCTAAGTCCATTAATGTAAAACCAGCATGCTGTATAGATGAGGACTTTGAAAGAAGTTTCCTAGTAGAAGGAAACAAAACACGTATTCTGGCCTTGTCGTTTTTTAATGTATATTTTAATGTACAGCATAGTAATCTGGTGAGGTTTGACTTTTGCTCAAATCAGAAATATAACATGAAAGAAAAGATTTCTTCTTAATTTGGAATTATAGTTTGGACAGGGTAAGAGTCATCTCGTGTGGACAATCCAGTTCTCCAGAGTCAAATGAACACCCAGTGAAAGTGGTTCTTTAGTGGCCACCTCTGTTCATTTATGTAATCTTCAGTTACTAGCACAGTTTGTATTATTTTAAGAAAGAGAATGAGATATGCTAAATTTTTCCTTCTATGTATGTAATGTGGAAAACTTAAATATTTTCTTGGCTCTTACACCTTGAAAATGTATTTGGAATATTTCAGCCAATAAAGAAATGCAACTACTTGAAAAAGCAAGAAAGGCCAAGATCCAATATGAAAAACAGATGGAAGAAAAACAGCGAAAGCTGAGAGAGCAAAAAGAAAAAGATGAGCAGCGGAGAATATCCGCAGAAGAAAAAAGAAAACAGAAGTTAGAGGAAGAAAGGGTACATAATTTTATAGCCCCTTCATCAGATGATACACTGTGTTGCCTGGGTCTGGAATATTTTTTTTTCTTAGCCCTTCTTTGCCTTTACTGGCCCTGTAGAAAGGGAACCAATCCTAGCTGTTTCTTTCTTCTTCCCTCCCTGTTCCCCTCAGCATTAGCAGCTCTTGCCCCTGTCCTCATAAGATCCCAGGAGCTGAGACTCTCTAGCCTTAGGGAGGAGGAACCTTGTAGATCCAAGAACAGAACCCTGTCCACCTTCAGGATGTGGCATATAGGGTTTGCTCTGAGCTGCTCTATCTACTACCAGAAAGCATTTGCTGTTGTCCCATTGCCTAGAGAATAAAAAGGCCAGACCCCACTGTCTGACCCTCCCTCACATGCCCACATCTGACTGATTTCTTACAACTCCTCTAATGGCATGACTCCCCAGCCAAGTCAGAGCACTTTCTCTCCCTTACAGGTTCCCTGGCTCCCTCCTGTGTATACCACACTGTCTCCCTCCTTAGCCCCCTGTCCCTTGTGTTCCTCACATTCTCTTTCCTGATGGGACCCCTCTGGACCTGTCGTTGATAGGCAGCATATCTCTTGTTTTGTGGCACTGCCACTCTCCCTTCCTTTCTGGACTCTTTTTTTGGTGTCTTTAGTACTCTGTTGGTATGAGTCAATGGCTTTGTCATGCCCTCTCTTTTACCCTTCTGTCCCTCTTCAGTCAATTTGCCTTTTGTTGTTTTTCCTAGGCGTCCGGCTACCTGTCTCATTCTGTATGATTCGCTCTCTTTGATACCAAATTTTTCTCTCGTAGGCCATTCCGCTACTTTACTGTGAGTATGCTTTACTCCTGAAACCGGCATGGTGTCTGTGACACCATTCTCTTTCTTGCTGGCATTCTCTGTTTATTCCAGGGACTCTCGAATGTCCCTAAATAAGTCTTAGCTTAGTCTGTCTCTGAGTCTGTGTCTGACTCTGGCCTTTTTCTGCCTGAGGCGGCTCGGTTTTCTTTCTATTGTCTTTGTTTTAGCTTCTCTGTTTTTCCCCATTTTTGAACTCTTTGGACTCTTTGCCTGTTGTTCTCTTAGTATATGTGTATTTCTTATCTCCCTCTCATATTTTCTGTTGTTCTAATTTTTGTAGTTCTTTTTCTCTCCTTTTCTCTTTGGTTCCATTTCTTCCCATGAAGCTGCTTCTCTTTGGCTTTCCCTGTGCTGCTCACTTTTCCTCCTTCCTTGCACACACAGTTGCTCTTGCACTTGCTTTACCTCCAGCCCTGTGTTCCATCTGGACATCTTCCTGATTCTAGGTCTCTTCTTGTGCCATTTCTTCCTCATCCATGGACCACTACCTCTTTCTTTCTCTATCTTTCTGACCCTTTTTCTGTGATTGTTTACTCTCAGTGTGTTTCATGTTCCAGTATTTGGTAGACTGTCATTCAGAATTTCTGTCATTCTCCATTGTCCTCTGTGAATCATCTCCTTATTTTACTTATCTGTGGCAAAGAGATGAAGGCCAGAGAGGGAATATGAACTAAGTAAAGACAATTTGAGAACCAAAGAAAGTAAAATAGAAAACTGTGTGCAGAGTGAGGGAGCATCCCTGGAGGAGAGAGAGTCCCAGGGACTGAGACAGGAAAAAAAAGACCATCTTAGAGAAAGAAGAAGCTGAGAGAGGGAGGGCACATAGAAGAGAAGAGAATGCAACAAAATGACACTGCAGACAGAAAGGGAGCCAGAGACATAACAGGAGGGGGGCAAAACAGAAATAACCCCAGAGAGCTAGATAGTGTAGGAGAGTCCCAGACAGAGCATGGGACATGAGACACTGTAAGTAGCAAAAGCGAGAGAGAAATTCTGGAGAGCAGAGAAAAAAATCCGCTCAGTAGAGCTAAGGAGGGTGGTGCATGGACAGGAGATACATGTGAGACAGGACGGGAACTTCCATTGTGAGCTCTGTGTGGCCACAGATGCAAGAAGGAATCTGAAAGCACAGAGGGGCGATGCATTCAGAAACAGTGGGATATAATTCTTATGAATCAGAAATGTTTTAATCAAGCAAGATTAATCTCTGTTTTCAGTTTATCATAGTTTCAGGGTTTCTAAGTAATTTAGAACAACTTCCTTTTAGAAAATATAATTTTCAAATATTGCCATTAGGTAAATTTTATTTTAAATAATTGAAATTGCTTTTTTTCCCTAGGATATGGGCTGCTCTCCATTTTTCTAGTATGTTTTTCTTTGTCCTCAGAAAACTGGTGGGGACATCGTAAGGATGATGTTGCTATGAAACAGTTGTTAGGGAAGAATGGAAAATCTCTGGCCTTGAAATTGATTTGCTTACCTGAGCAAATCCATGGTAGGTTGCAGTACAGGGTTGAGAAATATCTGAGAAAAGAACTCATTTCTGGAACACGTTTCTGGAAGTGGAGTTGTTTTGCCACAGTGTGGCATTTAATTGACATATAGTTGTTGCCTTGACCAGTATAAATTGAAGTTGAGGTCAAGACAAAGATGTCGATAATTTTTTTTTTTTTTTTTTTGAGACAGAGTCTCGCTTTGTTGCCTGGGCTAGAGTGCCAGGGCGTCAGCCTAGCTCACAGCAACCTCAAACTCCTGGGCTCAAGCAATCCTTCTGCCTCAGCCTCCCGAGTAGCTAGGACTACAGGCATGCGCCACCATGCCGGGCTAATTTTTTCTATATATTTTTAATTGTCCGATTAATTTCTTTCTATTTTTAGTAGAGACGGGATCTCACTCTTGCTCAGGCTGGTCTCGAACTCCTGAGCTCAAACAATCCACCCGCCTCGGCCTCCCAGAGTGCTAGGATTACAGGCGTGAGCCACCGTGCCCGGCCTTGAAACTTTATTTTTATTAGTTAACACCAGAATTTAAGCTGTTACAAATGCGGGTATAGTAAATGACTCTGGCAGAGATTTCACGTTTATGCATGTTGATTTTCTTCCTGCCTCATTTCACAAAGAATTTAAGGTGACTTTTAAAAATCCATACCATACCAGATGATAAAATAAATGGTTGAGGAAATCCAGCAGAGGGTAAATTAAGGTAGGCAAATAATAAAGCATAAGATGTGATTAGTGTACAAGAAAGTATACAACTCAGTTTCTGTACAATCGCTAGAGATAGGCTACAAATTTGGCTCTAAATTTCCTAACAATACAAGCAAGGAGGAAAGCATGATTGGTTCCTCAATGCAGTATCCCTAGGATAAGTTATTTAGGAGAAGCACTGTTACTGGTTGATCCCTGAGACATGTCTCCAGTTACTTTAAGCTTTTACCTGATACAGAAATTCGGTGATGGAGTTCCTTTATAAACCACATATCAAAATTATACTAACCAATGTAATGAATACGTAAAAATGAGTTGGCATTTATTTTAAATAGGAAAGATATAAAGCTGTTCTTTATCGTACTTTGGAACGGAGCAGCCGTGCTGAACTTCGGCAAAAACGATGGTCATGGGAAGGCTCTATACTGGCGAATTCTGAGAGCAGATCTGGTAATTAATACATCTGATAAATTTTAAGTTCATTAATGTTCATGCTTAAATATTGTCTATTATAAGATTGCATTAATAGCAAGGTTTTAATCTTTGTATCCTAAATGAAAATGCTGTACATAGTAAATTTAAATTTGTGTCATATCCATTGCAAAAAAACAGGTAAAATTTTATAATAGATTTTATTTAACTCAATATGCCCAAAATCTTACTTAAACTTAGAATCAACAGAAAAATGATGGATAATTACTAAGTTTTACACAGCTTATCTAATGCATATTTAAAAAAATAAACTAAGTCTGCCTTGTTTACTGTTGATGCACTATAAATTTTCCTGTATGTGGACGTAATTCTACACAATTTCAGAAAACATAAATTTATATAGTTTGGAAGGAAGGAACGACAATGAACATGGTGTACCTGATTAATGCATGTCAGTGCTTCTTATAACAACATCATGAAAAGTCATTTTGTTTAAGCTAATGATGCTTTGTTCTTGAAATATGATTAGAGTAAATATTACTATCTTTTCTCAGCCAATAAGAGATCTACATCTACTGAAAAACTTGAACAGGGGACTTCTGCTTTTCATAAACAAACGTTTATGTCACCTGCAGGTCTTCAAAATTCTGTTGCCAAAGGTAAGTAGTTATTTCCTGTATTCTACTGAATTTCATTTAATGAAATCAGTTCTTTATGTATATTTTTACAGTACTGCTTATTTATATTATGGAACATTTAGGTTTATTTCAGAAGAGTACCACTTTATTTTACAGGAGAGAGAGAGACATATTTTGTATTTTCATGAATATAAATCGTTGTTTTGTGATTTTTGTATTAAGCATATCAGATGGGATTGTTGGGCTCAGATATCTCAAACCAAAACATATTTTTGGCCAAAAGACATTGCCATTAAGTGGCATAATTATTTATTTTAAAATTAATTCACATTCTAGCTAACCCGTAAATGGAATTGTGTTTTCTAAGCAATGGCTAGACTGGTCATTCATTTTTCCATTAAGTATCATGACTTGCTTCATTTAAGAAAAATAATAGCATTATATATAGAGAGAGCGAGCGAGCAGTGGACAGGTTGATCTGCTTTACATATCATGTTTGTTATTCACAATTATCTTATAAAATTGACAGGCAAGTATAATTGCCTTCCTTGTTTTATAGTTCAGACTCCAAGAAACTCAATGATTTCTACTTTAACATCCTTTCTTATGGTTTATATTTTGGTCATTTGATAGATCATGATATTTAAATTGTACCTCTCACTTATAAGTCCATGTTTTCCCCTAAAACAAATAAAGTGATAACAATGTTTAATGATAGATGTATTGCTAAAGCTCTACTTTACAACTTTTCATTGTAGCAACACAGTGTTCTTTTAAATAAAATGAAGTTATCTACTATGGATACTTCAAATACCTTTTTGTTCCTGGTATTTGCTTTTTAATTAATATTCTTTATTAAAAAGAAAATCTAGGCCGGGCGTGGTGGCTCACGCCTGTAATCCTAGCTCTCTGGGAGGCCGAGGTGGGCGGATTGTTTGAGCTTAGGAGTTCGAGACCAGCCTGAGCAAGAGCAAGACCCCGTCTCTACTAAAATTAGAAAGAAATTAATTGGACAACTAAAAATATATAGAAAAAAATTAACTGGGCATGGTGGCGCATGCCTGTAGTCCCAGCTACTTGGGAGGCTGAGGCAGGAGGATCGCTTCAGCCCAGGAGTTTGAGGTTGCTGTGAGCTAGGATGACGCCATGGCACTCTAGCCCGGGCAACACAGTGAGACTCTGTCTCAAAAAAAAAAAAGAAAAGAAAAGAAAATCTATACCTGAGTGTGTATTGGTGACCATTTCTGGCTTGTAGCACATGTTGCTTCTCAGTAATAATTGAAATGGATTAGGCAACCATACCTATCAATCAGGAAAAAAAAAACCTTTTTCTTTCCAGAGGAAAAAATAGGAGTGATCTCAGCAGGAAAAAGGGCAAACAAATTTCATATCATTGCCTCAAACTTAGCCATTAAAAAACATGAAGAAATACTGCTTTTGTGCCTTGTGAATTGAAAAAGACATAATTATAGTTTGAATTAAAAATTTTTTGTGTGTTATTTAGGTGCCTCGACATTTTTTGAGCAATGCTGATTGCTGTAAAATTCCAGTACAGCAAGACTTTGGACACCATTTAAAGTATAATTGATTATAACAGTGGTTAACCTCATGAAAAAGATTTTGATTTTTGTCTAAAACAGTATTATAGTTTTAATATATTGAAAAGGATTTCTGGGAGAAAATGATTTTTATTTAAACTTACATTATGTTATTTGTACTTTTAGGACTCTGTTACAATTTCAACGATGAGCTTGAAAGGTCTTATTTTGTTGTCAGTTTGAGTGTATCACATTTTCTCTTGTAATGGTCTAAGAAAAGTTGATCCACTTACCACCCCCACCCTCTCAATATGCTTTCCCAAAGCACTTTTATGTATACCCCAAGTTCATTCAGAGATTAATGTGGGAAGATATTCTCTAGCACCTTGCTTGTCATATGGTAAAAGTAATTTATTATTCACCAACTAAATCCTTTAGAAAAATTAGATAACATTAATTGCATTGCCATGTTTATGTACTTTCATTTTAATATATCTTAATTGTTCCACAATAATTGTGTTTTACTATCTAATTGCCCTGAGGAATTTAGCAAGGATTTATTCCACAGACATTTATTACGTATTTCATGTAATGAGCAAACACTTATATGCTTTCATTAATATGTCTATTTGCCATATCAACGAGACATGTAAAGAGGACAGGTGATGGCTTTTAAGGTAATAATTAGTTAAATTGTACTGTGAAGGAGCAATTCCAAATAACTTTTTAAATGATTTCTTTGCTAGTTTTTAATACAAGAAGGTATGTGTGGACGATACTTTGTGAAATAACTTGCTTGAAGGTACAGTATGTTGCATACTCTGAAATGATGAATTCTGTAGTTAATGATTTCAGGGAAAATAAAATTCATATTGGCATGTCTTACCTTTGTAAATGCCCTTTAAATTGTAATGAAACCTGCTCAATCCAGAGAGATCAAGATTTCAAATGAAGTTCATAATCTAATCTGTAATATTTTAAATCTTGGTTGATTCAAATAATCTATTTTTCTTCTACTCATTGCTTACTCATAATTGTTCACGCCATTTTGTCATTTCTTACAGTATGCTAATGAAGGATACTGCCTTAATCATATGATTGAATTGATTACACCTCTGTGGTTCATGCTGCTCAATCACATTATCAATTCAAGGAATTTTCGAATGATGCTAAATTGTCAGTGTGTACTTTAATTTACAAGTCACCAGAAATTATTTTATAAATGGACATTCCTCAGTACTCTGAGCTAGAATATTTCAAGTGATATGGAAAAGTTTCTGTACAAAGCAGATTTTTCCTTATGAATAGTTGAATTGCGTAAATTGTGACATCTATACCGAATGTTAATACTTTCGTTTCAAAAAATACTAGTTATAACTAAAGTATAAATTACTTTTAGTATTATACATTGTCTTTAAAATTAAAGGTATATTCCTAATTTGGAAACTTTGATGTTGTCAAATAATATCCAGACATGTTTCCTCTTAATTTTAACCATTTTCTAAATAGTTTAATCTCATTTCAGATAACTTACAGAGGAAACTAAAAAAAAAATTGTCTCTCAGTGTGCCCCCCCCACAAAAAAAAGGAAACCAGTTTTAAGTTGGGGGATGTAGAGATTCTGTATAATATTTGAAATTAAATAAATTCTTACAAACAAAGGTAGAGAAGATGAAAAATATTTGAAAAAGGAGTGGCTCACTCCTGAAATAATATACTTAAGTAGTTTGTGAAAAATAATATTTCTTTGCACTTGATCTCTAGGAAAAACGGAAAAGAAGAGAAGCTCATCTTTAAATAGAAGAGATAGCAAACTACATTCATCTACTGATACAGAACAAGGGGAAGAAAAGCCAGGTGGTTAGTTACTTCTAAGCACAAATCTTAAATAGGGGTTTAAAAGAGGTATATTACATTGAGTTATTTGAAAAGTTTTTCCTAAAATTGGAAACCAAAATATCCCTTCTTGAATGAAAAAATGTGCTTTGGTGCCATGTTTATTTGGCTGAAGCCAGAAAAGTCTGTCTTTAAATGAAGTGTAATTGTTGCCATCATCTGACAAGGTGTCAATAATGAAGCTGAGGAAATAAATCACAAAATGTTGGTATAGATAGGTTTGTACTGGAAGACTTGATTCACTCCCAACATTTCATCATTTTGCATTTAGAAGTTATAAATTACTGGCCACATTTTGAACTTCAAAGCTTTACTCTCTTGCTCCATAGCATTAGCCACCTGTATCCTTTGTGTGTGTTTTTACTGCTGATTATTACACACAAAATGTCATAATTATTACTGAAGTACTTCTTTATTTAAAGTAGTTTCTTTTTAACACCTTTCCCTAGCATTTTCCTTTCACATGTGTTTGTTGCTTTTTGTTTCATACTGAACCATTTGCTTACAGAAGATTCTCCATGTAATTGATTCAGGTCAAATCCTATTAGAACAAATGCCATTGACACAGGGATCTTTATGAACATAAAGATTTAATGGAGCAAGATATTTACAGCAAAATTCACTTTTTTTTTTTTTTTGAGACACAGTCTCACTCTGTTGCCCTGGCTAGAGTGAGTGCCATGGCGTCAGCCTAGCTCATAGCAACCTCAAACTCCTGGGCTC